GAGAGAGGGAGGGGAGACAGATAGACAGAGGGGGAGATGATGCCAGGTAGAACTAACATCAGATTTGCTCCGGTCCCTGAAAATTCCCATACACCTCCAACAAATCAGCAATTTCATCTCACTGTCCCTGTCACACGCCTGAAAAATTCCTATATCTTATAAGGTTCATCAACCTGCCACAGTCCTACAGGGCAAACTTTGTATAACTGAGGATGTAACTAACTACAGGGTCTCCGAGTCGGATCGTGAGCAAAGGAGATTCTAGCTCAGATATCTGGACGGTAGCAAGATACGTTTCACAGACTACATAACGTATCTTATTTTACTGCTAAGTATATGCAGTTATCGACCTTAAAACAGTAACATTCTTCACTCCGCAGCTGGCTTTCTGTCAGTCAACATCAATACCCTCCTTTCCCAAATACTGTTTTAAAATGGCAAGCTTATCTTAACTAGGGAAAGTACCATGTCCACAGCCATTGGAAGCTGTGACACAATGAAACAAAACCAGAGAGAGATCGGGCAGAAATATCATTTGTTCCTTTTTGCAAAAACAAGTAGAGTTCAAATTACCAAACCAAATAAATTCCATCAATTATACTCACATATTTTAAAATCAATACAAATCCACCTTTTCAAAATTGATTTAGTATATTTCCAAAGTGTAATTTGGTTGTCCATGCTTATGCCAACCATTACATTTTACAAGCATTAATCTGTCGATAGCATAAGAAGCAAAGATAAACTGACATTTTTATAAAAACCCAGAGTCACATGTTCCTCTAAAAAAGTAGCTTAGGTTTAAATCAAAGAAACTACAAACATTTTTTAACTTTAAGACATCGCCCTCCACCCCCTCTGTAACAAAAGAACACAATACAGCCATTAATATTGCACGTTTCAGTTATTTCCTTCTAAAAACTACAATATGGAAACTGTGGTAATTTAAATTCTGGAATGGAAGGTAGTAGTCTGAATAATGGAAGATATTAGGCAAATATTCTTCAGCTAGTAAGGTTTGGTAACACCAAAACTTACTGCATGAAATGAATGTACCTTTGAATTACTGCAAATGTAGAATACGTGCTTTTGAAAGATTTTCCTGACAAGCAAGCAAACAAAGAGTTTAAAAAACCAGTAATTACTCTTTTGCTAATTTCAAACCCTAAATTACCCTCCCACATATTCCCTCTTCCATTGTTGGAGGAGGTGCAGGGTACTTTTCTTATAAACCAAAGCACCAATCAGAAAACTGAAATTGATACAGAAAACATCTGGCCCAGAAGTTATTCAACAGGTTTTCCATAATCTATGCAGAAGCAAGTTAGGCACTAACTGCGGCCAAACCAAAGCATCCCCCTTTCTAACAGGAAAGCTTTTTCTGACTTAGCAAGATGACAGATGTGTTCACAGCCCAGATGGGGAAGCCGTGAGGTACCACGAGCAGCACAAGCTCCCGGAAGCGCGTCCAGGTCGCAGTCCCTCCATGACCACTTACTGTGTATATCCTGGGGTCCTGGGTAAATGTCTCAATCTGTAAAGCACTGAGAGCACAACTAGAACAGAATCAGCCCTTGGCTCATGCAGGGCGGCAGCAAACCTCTAGATGGCTGCGAACTGGGATCACCTGGGAGGCTGTCAGATTCAGACTCTCAGGTGCAATTCCAGGCTTACAGACTCAGAACCTGCATTTTTATCAAGATCCCATTATGATTCAAATGCAAATTAAAGTTTGAAAGGCACAGCTAGAACACACTTTTACATTATTTTTAGAGACATTATCTACTATAATTAATTTTTTTAAAAACCACTCTGTTATTTTTATTGCAACCTGGATAAGGTGCATTTATTTTTAGTAAAAGGCAAAGTATTAGTTGGGATCAAAATTCCTCCATTTTTTTATTTCTTACTATACTTGACTCAAAAGCAGTACCAACTGAGGCCCAAGGCTGTAGAGGACTGCCATCTAGTGGTAGTTCATTCCAATGCACATACCAAAAATCTCCACAGCCTTCTCGTATTATAAAACTGCATTTGTTCAAAATAGGTCCAGGTTTTCTTTTTGCTTAATTCCCTTCTTGAGGACTGCTAACATAGTTGCCAAACTTAATAATAACATGAGAAGACATCATCAGTACCAAGGAAGGTAAAAGACAAGAATTGTTTTAGTTTCCTGTTTTAAAATCAGATCAAGCGCAGGGAAGTTTTCAAATTAAAAGGCTGATCTGCTCACATCTAGAAAGGTACACATTAGACAAACACTAGAGACAGGATTAGAAAATGGGCTTTCTTTTGACATATGCATATCTTGGGGTAACTTATTTTCTTCTAAATTCTGTACTTTTTACAACTTATTCATATAGTATTTGGAGGTGGGGAGCTTTCAAATTGAGCAGAAGGTACTTTTGAAATGTAAGGCATAATTTAAGAACTAGGAGAAGGTATCATATAAATACATTCACAAATAAACGCAAACTACCTTTCACGCCACCGAAAGATCCGTAAGTCATATTGAAGGCTGTTCTTTGGAGGTTATGTTCATACATCAGTTTGATCTGATATTGGTTCCCATGTTCCACGTTACCCAAGGTTCCTAAGGAGAAAAAGGCCCTTTTATTGTTTTGTATTTGTTTACATTAAAAAATGTTAATTTCTTCTCACTCTCTATACCAATTCTAAGTATCTCAATTTCAGTAACATTTAAAATGACAAAGTACTAAAACATTGTGTATTGTGAGCAATTAGCATACAGATGACACAATACCAGCTCAGGGAGGCATCCAATAAATGACTCTCTCATCACTGATGTTTCTATCTCTCTCTCTGCTTCTCTCTTCCTCTCTCTGAAATCAATAAAGATATATTTTTTAAAAAAACAAGTTAGTGTCAGCTAGACTACACCATCAGATAAAATACTACTCCTAGTGACATTCTGTCATCTGTTTTCATTATGTCTGAGTGAAGTGTAACTATTTAAATAACAACAAACCCCTCCCATTTCAGTTACGAAATATATGAGATTAAGTTCCTTGCACTTATAAACAATAGCAAAGACATGACTCAAAGTGTCTTAAGAAAAAAATTCCCCACACTCTCAAGCAATTCAATTTTCTGTCCCAGCTCTCAAAATACTCAAGCCCTAATGCAATGGAGATATCAGATCTTAGTACCATGATGTTTCATTTGAAGTCTGCCAAAAAGAATCTCCTTGAAAACAAAGAAAAATACTTTTCTCTGCATTTAACAAATCATATGTGCTATAATCACTTTCTAGTTCTTTCCACATAAGAAAAGATTATTTAGCCCTGGGCAGGTAGCCCAGTTGGTTAAAGCTTCATCTCAATACGCCAAGGTTTCAGGTTCAATCCCTGGTCAAGGGACATACAAGAATCAACCAATGAATGTAGAAATAAGTGGAACAGCACATCGATGTTTCTCTCTCTCTCTAACAATCAATTAATTTTTAAATCTTTTTTAAAGAAAATATTATTTACATGTATTTTACTCTCTGCTTGGTAGGCTTTGTAGAGCACTTACAGTTGAAGCTATATCCCAGGGATCAGGCAAGAACATTATGGTTAAAAGAGGTGTTCAAAAGAAAAAGCGTTAAGAACACAGCTTTTTCCATGAAGAATCTTTGTCATTCATTCAAAAGAGCAAAACTTAAGAAAAATTTTAAATATCATAAAGCAAATAAAATAATCCCCAAGCTTTATAGTATTAGATCATTAAAAGTCTAAGTATAGATGCATGTAAGTACACACAGATAGACATATATGTGTAATAAGCATTTATTTGTTTTTTATCCAGAAGGATTTACCAACACATCCTGAGGTTATAAGAATAGAAATATTTCTATTTCCATTTTAGAATTGAGGTAACTTACATCCAAAAGAAATTTAAGAAATTTCCCCGGAAATCACACAGCTGGTAAAGGACACAGGACTCAAACTAGGGCTTTAGACCCAGGGCTGCACGTCCTGGTACCTGGCTGTCCATCACTGAGTAACTTTCCAGGAACCTGGTGAGCCGACGGCAATTTCCCAAAGAGAGCAGCCTGGACAACATGTCACGTCCACCTTAGTGGCCATCTCATCCTCATTTGGAAGGGGGAGGGTTGAGAGGAAAACTAACAGGGGAGGATTTCTTGGGGTAGAATCACTTCTGCTCAGATCTATGCCCCTGAGAACGGCAACAACAGACTTTGAATGCCAACAGGATAAAGCAGAGAAAGACTTGTTTCCCAGCTAACCCCAACAGGAGATGAAAGCTTTCTGGAATCGAAATGGTAGTAAAAACAGTAAGGTCCAGGGGAACTGAGGGGTGATTACAACCATATTAGTCACAGGGGCAAAAAAAAAGAAAAAAGCCACTAACCCAAGTAACTCACAGCATTAACCTAGGAGGGCTCTAGCCCACAGGAAGCTGGGAGAAGTTAGAGAAACATCTGGTTTGTCCCTCCAGAAATGACAAACTTCAGTCTTCACCTGAAACCAGGTGAGGCCTCTGAGGAAGGAACACACTTGGCTTGCGTGCTAGCCCGCTAGGTCAGCAGGCACGGGGCCAAGCAGGCAACAGTTAAACAAACGTGGTGTAAAATGACACTTGGGCTTGGGCTCTGAGAAAGCTCCAAGCGCATCGGCAAATGTTTAAATCTCAGGTGATAGCACTTTAAGACTTAGTAGTGTAACTACAGAACAACTGGCAGCATAGCCTTAGATAGCACCTTAAAATATAGGTAATATCTGGAAATCTACAATTTCTGGCCATTATTTTTCTAGAGAAGCATCGATGACATAAGATTAAAATTACTTACATAGATTTTGCCCTTGGATATACAGACTGAATATAGTAAGTGTATACCTATAACTATAATCCGCCTATAGCTGAAGTTATTATCATTTCATCAATTTAGCAAGTAAATGGCGAGGAGAAACAAGATGGCGGCGTAGGTAACAGCTACCCCCACTGCCTCCCACAACATCAAAATTAGAACTAAAATACAGAACCACCATCACTCAGAGCCTCCTGAAATCTGGCTGAACAGAAGGTCCACAACCAGGGAACTGAAGCAGCACCGAGACCGGAGGGGGGGGAACGCAGGCAGGTCGGGACTGGATCATGGAAACCCGGCCCAGGCCCACACGCAGTGCCGAGGTTTAAACCCAGGAGGACATCTTGGTGGTGGGGGTTTCCTGGAGGAGGGAGGAGGGAGGGTTCCCAGCCCCACAGCAGGCCCCCAGCCCAGGGCTCCAGGGCCAGGAAGAGACGTCCCTACAACTCCGGGCTGTGAAACCAGCGGGGCCTGTCTCTGAGGGTCGAGGAGGCTGCGGGACCCCAGCAGCTCCTCTAAAGGGCCCGGCGCGGACTCACTCAGACGCTCCCTCTGAGCCCAGCGCCGGGTGGCAGCCTGAAAGGACCCGGGACACTCGAGGAGGAACTAACCTGCCTGAGATCCGGGCGAGAGGCGGAGGGCGGCTTCCTCCCGGGCAGAAGGGCTGGCGGAGGCCATGGCTCCTGTGGCGAGTCCTCCCCGCACACAGCCGGCAGGCAGGCGCCATGTTTGAGTCGCCAGCACCTGACTCCTACCTTTGGCCCCGCCCCTCCCCACCTGCAGCTCATCCAGGCCATTTCTGTGCAAGTGGCCTCTCGAGCCTCATGCTTAGGACTTTCCCAAAATCTCTC